TCTCTCCCTTTCTTTCGCCAGGGCTGAGGACTAGAGGGTTGCCCCGTAGCCGCCCCTCTCCTTCTCTCTCTCTCTCTCTATCTTCTTCCATTGGGCACGGCCACGAGGGCCCCCGTGAAAGACTTCCAATAACGGTTGATTATAGCGCAATGGCGAACTACGTCACCACATACTTTCCCCCGGATGCAGCTGACACGTAGCTCTCCCTCCCTCCCGCGATGTCTCTGTTGCTGGCTTTTCTGGGTTGGTTCGTTCTTGTGCTCTTCTATGCGTCCCTCCGTCTCTCTCTGTGGCTTTCTTCTTTTCATTCGCTCTGTACCTTTTCCTTTCGGTTGGTTCGCTCTGCCTTTGCTTTCAATGGTGAGTTTTGGGTTCATCGTTTCTGTTTTTGTTGTGATTTACTTCTGATATATATGTGTATATATATATCTCTATATATATATATATCTCTCTCTCTCTCTCTCTCTCTCTCTCTCTCTCTCTCGTCTCTCTCCGTGTGACTTTCGCCATCCTTCTTTTTTGATTTCCTCGCGCAGACTCTTTCTTTGTCTAGGTTCTTTGCACAGGCGCTTGTGCCAGCTTGGTGCCGGAGGCTCGGGCCATTCTGCTGGATCTGCCTGAACAAGTCCTGCTTCTTGTGATACACTTCGAGAGCCTCCGCAAGAAGAAGAAGTGAACTTGGTGGCAGAAGGAGAAGGCGGCGTCGCCTGGTAGAGGCGCTCCTTGAAGTTGTTCTCTTCGAAGCCGGAGAAAAGGAACCTAAAAGAGGATCGGCCGCCCCGGCAAGCGGAACGGCGGAAAGCCCACGACTCTGGGAACCCGAGCCCGGTGGCGGTCCTCCGATCCCTCTCCTCGTCCCAGAGGCCGAGCACCGAGTCCTTCAAGCCTTGCGAAAACCAATCAGCCCTTCTGGCGACGCTCTTTCTTTCGCAAGGGCTACGTATCGGCTTCTGCTGCGCGCGGCGCAGGCCTCCTGTCTCGTGGACCACAGGCACGGTGCCATAGGCCTGTGCATACCTCAAGTTGAGACCAGCACCGACCCGCCGCCGACCCCTCCCCACAAAAGGGTTCTTGCCAGGATGCATCTGTGGAAGGCCACAGGGCTCGTACTGGCTCGGCATCAGCAGGAAGTCGCAGCCCGCCATCATGCGATGCTCGACTTTGGGGTCGAAGCCCACGTAGCCGCAGACGCGGCCTCGGTTGGTGTTCTCGGCGTTGGAGAGCTGCGAGGCGTACATGTCATCGCCCTTGCCCATCAAGATCACCTCTGGAAGGGAGAGTGAGAAGAAAGCAGAAAGAGGGAGAAGATCAGAGAGAGGGCAGAACTGGTGCCATGGCCTGGACCCGGCCCAGGACGCCGCTGTTCTCGTAGGTGAGCAGCCAGGGGATGACTTGCGTGATCAAATGCACGCCCTTCTGAAAGCACAAGCGACCACAGAAGCCGAACAAAGCAGCTCCCGGGTCTTCGTGGAGACCCAAAGAACGCTGCAAATCGCTCTTGCAATGCATCTTGCCCTCTAAAAAGTCTGACAAGCCATAATTTCTGGGGATGTGGGGGTCCGTCCTGGGATCCCACTCGTCGGCGATTCCGTTGAGGATCCCGGCCATCCGCAGCTGCCGTCCTTTCTCCGTGAGAATCTCGTGCAAGCCCTGGCCGCCCTCCGGGCTCTGGACTTCGACGGCGTAGTTCGGACTCACCGTCAGCACTCGGTCGGATGCCAAGATGGCGGCTGACATCAGGTTCATGCAGTCCACGCCCAAATTCAGATCCTGCGCCCCCGCGTCTGCCACTTCTATGGGACACACAACGTGTGATTCTCCCCCCCCCCCCCCCCCC